TATGAACTGCAGCCACCATAGTTGTAGGTGAAATGCTACAGGAGTTTGGTCATACATCACATTGTCTGCGTGTCTGCAATGTGTGAACAAGCTGTCATTTTTCAGACATGCTGCTGCCACATGAAACAGGACACAGTTGTATGGTGGCATGCAGAAGATTTTGCTTACCATATTTTACACATATGGTCTAGTAACTATAGGTTCAAGAGCAATGTACTGTAAATCCCATTCCAAAAATATATTAACTTTATATGCATGTTAGTATGTCTGTATGAAATGCCTAAAAATGGATTTGTGAATGCACACTCTATTTAGTTGCTTATTGCATTTGTCTAGACATTTGGGCAAACACACACACAACTGGGTTACTTCACTGATCACTGGGCACTGTCAGCTCGTAAGGACCTGGTTCAGCTTTTCATAAGGATGTATGAACTCAGTGTGCTGTCTTCATGTGGCAGGAATTAGTTTTTATGACTTGCCATGCATTCAGGAACCACACTTGCAGGAGTTCATTTTGTATACCTATTGCTAGGTATACTATTTTGTCTTTGAAGCACTTATTGAGTCTCAAGTACATTTCTGAGCTGTTCACTGAATACAGTTCAGTCACACCAAGGTAATCAGGTAGTACTCTTCTAACTGTGCCAAAATAAGTTCCATATATAGTCATTTTTTTAACTTCATCCCCGCTGTCTGGATAGCTTTTGAGATTGTGTTTCAAATTCAAACTGAAAACAATTCTGCTTCTCAGGCTTAAAGGAACTGTGTAAGTGTGATCCTGTGTTTGCAGTTATCTGTAGGGTGGAAGTGAGTTTCTTACTGTCTGTGAGTGGGTCTATTGCTTAGATTATCTGTTTCATAATAATTAAACTATCTCCCAAGAATAGGAAAAATCTGAGCATGACCAATAATTCAGTCGGGCATCTGTTTGCACACTCATTTTAATGTAAATCAGACTTGTTTATTTGTAATGAAATATGCTATATATAAATAAATTTGCCTTGTCTTACCCTGACATGCAATGAAAATGGCTTGATGATAAGAATTGTAATCAACAGTCAGTGTTATACTCCCTTTGGTTCCCAGCACATTCTGCTTTAAGTCAAGTGGGTTTTACAGTCTGCACAGCTAGATAGGTTACCAGCATTCCATTTGTGCTATCTATAACTCAGCGAAGATCCCAGATACTGACGTAGGAAAAAGATGAAGGGGCTACCACTTGTGGCCGGCAACGTGCGCACATCTCACAATTTACGACTACTCCAATGGAACTGAAACACCTTATAACCAGTGCTCTGCATGTTTTCGCCAGCGGTCTTTAACTGAGCAGCAGTGTGCTAAGGTGTGGGACAAGTGGGCTGTTGTGCTGCTGTCTTTGCTAGGAACTAAGTAACTGTACTCTGGTTTCTTTTCTTTTTTTTCAATCTTCACAGAAGACCTCAGTCATTTAGTCAGTCTTCATCCAGATGACTGTGACTCAAGATCGGCAGATGACCTATGTCAAAATGAGAAGGCTTGTGTCATTTTTCTCTGGTAAGTTATCCTAACAGGCGTTAGATAATGTTTGACAGTTAACTGTTAGCTACTGAATCACATAGAATCATAGAAAGATTAAAAAAAGGTAACAGTAACAGAAATCCTATTAAACTACAAGTGACAAAACAAAATAAGTGCAAAATATATTGATTTATTAAGGCTTACTTGCTTTAAAACACCCCCAAAAAACATAAAAGTTGTAGTTAGCTCAAACGTATGTAACAATAACCACTTGTCCCATACAGCTTTGCTTAAGGGGAAGAAAGCTGACTTCACTGACTTATTACACAAGCTTGTTTCCAGTCAACAACTCTGTCAACGGTAAGTCACCATAAAATTATTATGTACAACTTTTTACTTTGTGTGATATAAACCTCCAAAACCCACCTATGCTGTTTTTCGTTGAAGTCTGGACACTCAGAAAATCCTGCGTCGACAGAGCAAGCTGAGAAAAGAGAAGGAGGAGGAAAGCACTGTGGTGAGTACAGAGGGGAGGCTTTTACATAAAGACTATACTGTAATGCTTCCAGGAGATGATCTGACCTCCTGACCATCCTCGTCTCTTCATCTTCTCTCTCCTCAGATCTCAGTGAACACAGAATCCTCTCCGTAAGTTGTTTTCCCCTTGACGCTCAAAAATATATTATTTTCATTGCTTCTCAGAGCGTTTATATGTTGAATGTACCATCTGTATGTAGCAATGATACACTAAGTGGTTTCCAGCCTTTTGGACTTGTGACTCCTCACCACAGTTTGTGGCCTTAGTCCTAGTTTGTTCCATTTTTTAAATAAATAAATTTGAAAAATGCCTGAAAAAAGAAACATATTTTGTGTAACAGCAATGTTTATTTTTTTCTTCCTTAATCACCTTGTGAAACTTTTACTTCATCTAGGGCCCCTTTGGGCGTCCCAACCCCCAGCATGAGAACCACTGCCCTGACTAATCAGATATCTAAGATATTCACCAGCCACGTGGTTTCTTTTCTTACATGTAAAGAACCCTGCAACCCAAAAGTTATTTACTCTTAATGGATGTGTAGTATTAATAAGTTATTTATCAACCACAAATTAGTAACAATTAAAGCCTGTTTGTACTGTATAGTGTATATCATATACTTATATGGGTGCTATTATTGTACTAAACAGGATGAAGCCGTCAGACTTTGACTACCTCAAGGTTATTGGCAGAGGAAGCTTTGGAAAGGTAGGAGGTTTCTATTGTTGTAAGTTTTCTTGTTTGTTTGCCATAATTTGGTCTTGTAGTATTAAATGTCATAACTCAAACTTTAACAGGTGCTGCTGGCAAAACATAGAAAACAGGGAGGCTACTATGCTGTGAAAGTGCTGCAGAAAGAGCTGATTGTCAAGAGGAAAGAGGTTATCTATCTATCTTTCTATCTATCTACTGTATCTCTCTCTCTGTCTGTCTGTCTACTCACTGTATGCATTGTGTCTCTGTAGCAGAAGCATGTGATGGCTGAGAGGAGTGTACTGCTGAAGGCGCTGCAACATCCATTCCTGGTGGGACTCCACTTCTCTTTCCAGACACCAAAGACTCTCTACTTTGTCCTGGACTATGTTAATGGAGGGGAGGTGTGTATATAAAAATGACTTCTCTTTGTTATCTTTGTGCCCAGTGTTATTTTAGTGCCAGATACAGAAGGAAATTTACAAAGACCTCAGATCTCAGATTTACTGGCCAGGTGTGTTGGACATGAGGAATTTGACTCTGGTACAGTGGCTCTCAATGTGCATACACACTGTTGTTCCCTAAGGCCATGGGTAGGCAAGTAAACAAGTTAAGACTGAGAGAACGAAAAAGTGAAGAAAAGAATGTGCAAACAAGGAAAATGAATGTGCATTACTAAAATAAAAAGAAAAACAAAGTACTTATAAATATAGAAATATATA